ATTAATTAATTCTAATCGGTTATTAAGGTCAATTGGTTTATTGTGTTGAACATAGAAGCTGGCCATTGCTCGGGCGGCTGCAGGGCCTGGTCAGTGAGGTTAAGACGTGCGCACGAGGGTCTGCGATCTTGGGTTTGAGGCCATCGCCCGAGGGATCCTACCTCCACCGAATTGAGGTCATCTTCGGTATTACGGATTGAGGCTATCTCCGTCATAGGCATTAAATGTTAAGTGGTTTGACTTTGGTGAAAGTCTAAATTGGTTTGACCGGTGGTCAAAGAGTTCATGAGAAACCTGTAACACCTAAATCGTTTTGAAAAGAAAGAAAATAAGTTGACTGTTGGTCAACCGTCTAAAGAACCGAACGTAAAGTTGAATTGATTTTTATTAAAAGGATAAACATATGCACGATCTTAATTGTTGAATTATTATGTTTATTCTTGTGCTACAATGGAGTACCACTCAGCGTCAATGCTGAGCGGATAGCGTTGTTTCCTTTTTGTTGTCCGTAGGTGATCAGACAGATGAACCTAGAGCCCATCCCAGAGGGCATTGAGGAGGAGATGTACGATGGCGTCGCTGTCTCTTAAATCTGTTGATTATGCTTTATTTAATTTACTTTAATGCTTATTACGTTTTCGGGCAAGATCCCAAGTTATTTGACTTTAAAAAGACTTCCGCATTATTTTAAATTACTCCGATGGATTTTTATATGTATTGAAACAACGTTTGTTTAAAATTGTTTTGAAAATGTCGCAAATTCGGATACCAATTCAGTGGCACACCGGTCCGCTGTTTCACGGGTTTGGGTCATGCGGGTTGGGGTGTTACAGCAACGAACTCATCGCGCCTCTCCTCGCGGTACCGGGTGGGGACGTACTCCTTCGTGAAGGCTCGATCAAAGCGATCCCAGGTCCACGGCTTGGGTGTGTGTGGATCCTGGTCAATGCGCTTCCACCAATGATATGCTCCCTTCCGGAACATCTGTGACGCCAACTCCGAGCGATCAGCATCTGGGACTCTCAAATTCTTGAGTACCCGGTCCATCTGCTCAAGCCAATCCAATGCAATCTGGGGCTCCCCCATCTTGTCTCCTCGAACTCTTCCGCTCCATTATCCTTCAACCTCTTGAAGGTAACGATGCGCGGCTGCGGCTGTGGTGGTGGCGGTGGCGGTGGCTAGAACATGGGCATAAACTGCGCCATGTGCTGCATATAATGGGCCATCATGGCCGGCAACATCTGCTCGTAGGCCACCGGCGGTATCGCCAACGATAGCATCACTGGAGGTGGTACGACTGGCGGTGGTACAGCTGGTGGCTGTCCCGCTGGCGCAGGTTCATTCAGCTGTTGCCCTCCGTCACCCGGAGGCGTGAAACTCAAACCCTCGGTGTTCACCGTGTGCACGCTCACGTGCTCCGGCTCCGTAACGTACTGACCGTGGGTCGATTCTTGACTCATTCTAAAATAATAAGGAAATTCCCACATCAGATCTTAACATATAACAGGTAAAGCTATAAATACTTATTACCTTCCCGGAGCAGAGGAGTTACGTGAGATGCAGATGCAGCTGAATTATTCATTGTATTTTATTTTGAAAGGGACCAAAGACCGATTTTAAAACCAAATGCTCCGATACCAAAATGTAACACCCCAACCCGCATGACCCAAACCCGTGAGACAGCGGATCGGTGTGCCACTGAATTGGTATCCGAATTTGCGACATTTTCAAAACAATTTTAAACAAACGTTCTTTCAATACATATAAAAATCCATCGGAGTAATTTAAAATAATGCGGAAGCCTTTTTAAAGTCAAACAACTTGGGATCTTGCCCGAAAACGTAATAAGCATTAAAATTAATTAAATAAAGCATAATCAACAGATTTAAGAGACAGCCACGCCATCGTACATCTCCTCCTCAATGCCCTCTGGGATCGGCTCTAGGTTCATCTGTCTGATCACCTACGGACAGCAAAAAGGAAACAACGCTATCCACTCAGGATTGACGCTGAGTGGTACTCCATTGTAGCACAAGAATAAACATAATAATTCAACAATTAAGATCGTGCATATGTTTATCCTTTTAATAAAAATCAATTCAACTTTACGTTCGGTTCTTTAGACGGTTGACCAACAGTCAACTTATTTTCTTTCTTTTCAAAACGATTTAGGTGTTACAGGTTTCTCATGAACTCTTTGACCACCGGTCAAACCAATTTAGACTTTCACCAAAGTCAAACCACTTAACATTTAATGCCTATGA